TTCTTCATCATTATTGTCTTCTTCTTCACTTTCTTCATCATCATCATCTTCTTCTTTACCTTCCTTTTCTTCTAGAGATTTGTCCAGTATAAGTAAATTTTTCATGTCTTCATTCATATTTTTATATCTTTCTGAACATTCTTTATAAAAGTTACTAATAAATGGATCGGAGCTCAGTAATAGTCTTTTAAATAAATCTTCATTTGTTTGAAGTCTACCACATTTTCTTGTGTGACACTCTCTAAATCTGCGTACTTGTTTGTTTTTTGCTTCTTGATAAATAAGATCCACAATTATGTGTTAAGTAATCTTTGACTGCCAATTTTTTGGTTAAGGCGCACGTTGGCGCAAGATTTCTTTCTTATGCTATGTACACCATACCTTCAGCAATAAAAAAATGTTAGCTACAATTGTTCGATTTTGTTCGCTCGCAAGATATTTAATTTAAAAGATTGAATGGTCAAAAAATATAAGTATTTATTGACGTCAATAGAAATGGTTGTAATTTTTTTCAACAAACATCTTTTGAAATTTGGAAAGGCGTAAAATGAAGACCTTTCTGTACTTTATAAGAAACCAACGACACAATATTTTCAAGTAGTGATATACCATCTTTTTTGTTTTCTAAAGTTGTGTCGTTTTCTAAAAAATTTCCTTATACAAAATAAGGTAATTGTAATAGCAATTTATTTCGCGCAGTAGCTATTATAAAACACCAAAGACTTCATAAACTTCACTAAGAGTCTATTAATAGTTAAAATATATGTAACATTTAAAAAAACAACACTATAAAATTTTTTTTTCAATTGATTTTCGATCGGGTTTTGAGTGTTTTCGGACCACTGTGCGGCATTGGGTAGACTGAGTTTTCGGCCGTCTTAAAAGACGCACGGCTAAACCCGAATGTTTCTGGTTCTAGGTCTAGTGCTAGTGATAGTGTTAGTTCTTAGTGTTAGTGCAATACTAAAACTAACACTAGACCTAGAACTAGAAACATTTGGATTTAGCCGCACGTCTCTCAAGACGGCTAAACCCGAATGATTCTACTTCTAGGTCTTGTGTTAGTTCTAGTGATAGTGCTAGTGTAAAACCAGAACTAACACTAGACTTAGAACTAGAAAGTATCGGGTTTAACCATCTCTAAAGACCGCTAAGCCCGAATAATTCTAGTTCTAGGTTTACATTTGTACTTTCACTATAACTAACATTAGACCTAGAACTAGAAACATTTGGGTTGGGTTTGGTTTTCTCACATGTTATAAAATAATATAACCAGTATTTTTTAGAAATAGATTTTGTATTTTGAAAATAAAAAAATTGACTTCCTTTTTTGCTGAAGTTTATTCAATTATGAAACATAGATTAAATATATAAATATACTAATATAGATGGTGGGTTCCCCACCTTAAAATGAAACGCTGTTTTTAGTTCAGACTACCCTCATTTAGCGCTAGTGGNGTCTTACTGAAAATATCTTTTAAAAGAGCATGAAATGCTCTTTCAAACAAGACCAAAAATATTCAAATCGGTTGAATGGTCCAGGAGATATTAAAATGTAAACATTTGAAAACGCATTGGCCTCCCCCTCCCTTATTGTGAGAGTTATGAGAAATATCGCAAAACAAAAGCGATGCGGTATTATCCAAGCTACTAAATGATGTTGTCAAAGTTATAGCTCATCGTCTAATTTTCTGAGATAGCGGCAATTTTATGTTTCTCTATGGCAGTTACGCCCTAGCGGTCGAATTACGAACTTCAAAATTATTTCCAGGTATTTCTCTTGCCCACTTTGCTTATAAGGATTTTTTTCCAAAACCTCTCGGCCATACCGTTGTTGAGATACAGGGTATGTATAATATATACGATACGCGTCATAAGTAACGAGTCATGACCCCAAACGCGTCGATTTTACATTTTTTACAGTCGACCAAGTAAATAACGAACGGTATGAATGTCGGTACATGGTTTTGCGTGCAGTGAATATACATTGTGTCCCAGGATAGATGTTGCAATAGGTATAATGACCGAAACATTTTTAAATTTTATTTTAGGGATGGGGAATATAGGGAATATATTTTAGGGTGTATTTTCCTATTTTAAAAATCATCTCGGCCTTGACAATGAAGCGAAAACTATTTTTAGTTCAGGTAAAGTAAGTTTTTTGTTTATGATACTGCAAAATTTCATTAAGAAAAGTTGTTCAGAATGAGAAATTATGGCACTATGCACAATTTCAGCAAGATCTACCTATATTGATTAAACCACCATATTTTAGAGGAGATTAGAGTGAAGAAAAACAACAATGAAAAATGCCATAAAAAATTTATTATCCCTCAGTTTTAGTTGACATTTCAATTACTCTTACATTATGTTAGCATTAGAACAGAAAATTTACGTCGTCAATCTACACGTATGACTGTTACGCAAATAGTAAAGAAATTTCTTACATCGGGAGGCGTCGTTAACCTTAAGAGAAAGAAAAAGAAATATAACGACGATAGATAATTAGCTTTAGAGAATTTAGGCATTGTATAGAAAAGGGTGCAACAAAAGGTTGATGTTATGTTGAATAAACGACAGTTATGTTTA